TTCAGAGAGTCCAGGTGGTTGAGTATCAGAGTGTTCCATCTCGTTTCCCTTTGGGGTTGCTGGAGGTGATCTGGAAGTCTGTTTTTGAGGCTTGTTTAAGTGTCTTCTCATTTCCATGGGGGGGGTCCTTCTGGCACCCACATGGTTCACCTTCTCTGCCCTAGGAGCTTGGGATGGCAGCTGGGAAGCTTCCTTCTGGGTGCTGGGACCGGCTGAGCTTCTCTGCCCTAGGAGCCTGGGATGGAGGCGGGAAGCTTCCTTCCAGGTCTGATCCATCTTGATTTGACTTTACTACAGGGTGAGAGATAGAGTCTAGATTCAGTCTTCTGCATGTGGATAACCAGTTTCCTCAGCACCACTTGGTAAAGAGCTTTTCTCTAGCTCTTTACCACTCTGTTGAAGATCAGAAAACTGAATGGCTGTTTCTGCATCCTCAATTATGTTCTATTGATCCACATGTCTGTTTTTGTGGTAGTACCATGTTGTTTTCATCACTGCAGCTTTGTAATAAAATTTGAAACCTGGGCTTGTGGAGCCTCTCACTTTGCTCTTGTTGCTTAGGACTCCTTTGGTCTCTTCTGGTCCACTATAAATTTTAGCATTTTTTTTTTTTTAGTTCTATGAAGAATGCTGTTGATATTTTTATTGGGATTACATTAAATCCTATATATCATTTTTTATAATATGTCCATTTAGACAGTGTTGGTTCTGCCTATCCAGGATCTGGGGATGTCTTTCCGTTCCCTGGTGTCCTCTTCAATTTTTCTTTTTTTTTTCAGAACACTATAGTTTTTGTTATAGAGGACCATCACTTCCTTCATTAGGTTGATTTTTAAGTATTTGATTTTTTTGAAGCTACTGAGAATGGGATTATTTTCCTGATTTGTTTCATTATTGGCATACAGGAATGCTACTTTTTCATGTTGATTTGCTACTTTGCTGAATTTGTTTATTCATTCTAAGAGTCTTTTGGAGGAGTGTTTTTGGGGGTGTTTAATGTAAAAGACTGTCATCTGCAAATAAGGATAGTGTGACCTCTTCCTTTCCAATGCATATCCCTTTTTTCTCTTTTCTTATTACTCTAGCTAAATTTTTTTTTTTTTTTTTTGGTACCGGGGATGGAACTCGGGGCCCTAGCTAAACTTTGGAGTACTATATTGAACAGTGGTAAGAGTGGATACCTCCATCTTGTTCCTGATTTTAGAGGAAAAGCTTTCAGTTTTTCCCCATTTAAAATAACATTACAGTGGGTTTGTCATATATGACTTTTATCAGTTTGAGATAGGGTCTTTCTACACCTATTTTTGTCAGAGTTTTTTTTTAATCATAAAACTTACATCCACCTTACATCTCTGGGAAGAAGCCAACTTGGTCATGAAGTTTGGTTTTGTTAATGACTTGTTGCATTCTATTTGCCAGTATCTTGTAGAGCATATTTTCTTGTTGAGGATATTTGCATGTGTGTTCATTGAGAGGACTGTCCTGTAGTTTTGTTAAGTCCTTGTCTGATTTTGGTATCAGGGTAATGATGGCTTCCAGGAATGAGTTTGGCAGTCTCCTTCTTTTTCAATTTCATGAAAGAGTTTAAGGAGTATTAGCGTTAGCTCTTCCCTGAAGTTCTGGTAGAATTCTACAATGAAACCATGAGGTCCTGGGGTTTTCTTAGTCTGTAAGTTGTTTTATTGTTTAAATTTCTGCCTCTAGTTTGTTGCTTGTGATTGGTCTAATCAGAATTCGTATACCTTCTTGGTTCAATTTTGGTAATTTGTGTTTAGGAATTTATTCATTTCTTCCAGGTTCTCCAACTTATTGGAATATAAGATTTGAAATAGCGTCATATAATCCATTTTGGTGGTGGTCTTTGTGATTTCACTGTTTTCATTTCTAATTACACTGATATGGGTTTTTTTCTTCTCTTGATAAATTTGGCTAAGAGTTTGTTCTTTCAAAGAACCAACTCTTTGATATTCATCGATCCTTTGATTTTTTAGTTTCAATTTCATTAATTTCTACTCTGATCTTCATAATTTTATTCTTCTACTAGTTTTGGATTTGGATTGTTCTTGTTTTCCTAGGACCAACCTTCAGATGCATCATTGGGTTATTTGGGATTGCTCTTTTCTTTTAATTAGTGCATTCACAGTTACAAACTTCCCTCTTAAGGATGCTTTCATTGTGCCCTATAAGTTTTGGTATGTCGTGTTCCCATTGACATTTGATTCTACAAACTTACAATTTCTTCCTTGATTTTTTTTCTATGATCTACTGATTATTCAAGAATATTTAATCTCTATGTGTTTTTATTTTCATAAATGTCAGTAGTTCATGCTTTTGGAAATTTTACTTTGTTTCAAATGTGTGTGTGTGTGTGTGTGTGTGTGTGTGTTTGCTTAAAAGTAATAAAGGAATCTCTAGTTGGGAAGCATTAAGTGCCAGAAGAAACCACTTATCTCCCCAAGTACACCTGACTATAGCTCGCTGGTGCTGGTCAGGATGCATTGTTATGGGGTCCTCAGTGCTCTTGAAAATGGGTGGGCACCTGAGTTTCCAGGGTCCCTGGCTCTTTGTGAGGCCCCAGACCCGATGCAGTCACCTACGAGTCAGCTCACTCGGTTCCTCTGCTTTAGGAGAGGCCAATTGTCACAACTTTGACCTTAGAACATGATTCTGGTTCCTCCCTAGCTTTGTCAGGCCAGGTGATCTGACTTATTGACCGACCCGCTCCCCCCCAAACCTGAGCTTGGTCACCTTTCCTTCCACTTCAGCTGTTTTCATTTTTACCCTTCAGGGGTCTTTCTATGACTCTACTTAAGTAGTCTGTAGTAACTGTGTTTATTTTATCTTCACTATTAAGTGTTACTCCATTTGTCAGTCCACCCTGCTGTATTCCCAGTGCTTAAGGAGTATTTATTTAAAAATGAGTAAGTGAATGAATGACCACAGAAATGTATTGAGAGGTGAATGGCACCAATGGCAATCCATGCAAGTTCAAACTATGAAGCTCATTCGATAGAAGGAATTCCCGTCTGTGACCCACGGCTTGGGCACAGACAGGGCTGTGGCTGGCAGCAGTCAGAGCTGCACTTTCACTGTGGACTCACAGCTATCAGACCCCTCCCTGCACACCGAGAGCTGCAGGGGTGCAGCCAGAACCACAGACAGAACCACTGTGCCTCTGCTCAGGAGAGCCGGAGGGCGGTGCAGGCGGCACAATCCCACCAGTTCATCAGCGGGCACCACGTCATCTGTGTATGGTCCTGGTCCAGCAGCTGCAAGCACCAGGCTTCCTGCTGCCCCAAGTCCTCCTCTTGCAGAGGATCCCATCCTGCAGTGAAGAAAGCATATCAACATCCCCACTTTACAAGAGGAAAAACTGGGAGCCCTGCTCAGCCCACTGGAGAGTGCTCCTGGGAAGCACGACTGTCGGGCCTTCCAGGGTCTCTGTCGCCATTTCCTCAGCAGATGTGCAGAGCCTGTGCCAGGGAAATGAATCTCAGCACCATGGTGTCAGCTCGGAATCAATGGCTTGGGAAGCTGGGAGCGAGCGGGGCCAGAGAGGTAGCGGGTGGAACACTTGCTTGGCTCCAGGGAGCCTGGCTGTGAGGCCTGGGGCAGTGCCACCGGACGGAAGTGAGCCCCTCTGCCCTACACTGTGCCTCTCCTGGGCGGGACGCCGAGAGGAGAGGACCCATCCCAAGAGAACAAGGTCAGGTCAGAATGAAATGCTCAAGGCCACCTGGGTAGGGCCACCTCAGGGCACGCTGATCTGGGGGTTCTTCAGGAAGAAGGCCAGCTTTTGGCCCAGAGAGTCCAGCTCGCTGGCGTTGGCGGACTGGAGCAGGTTGCTCTTGGGGACGAAGTAGTGCTTGAGGAAGCGCTGGCTCACACACTTGTGCAGCTTCCGCACCAGGCGGGGGAAGGCACTCTCGAAGTCCTGCCAGTCCTTCAGGTGGGGGTACTTCTCACAGGTCCAGAAGAGCACCATCTGGGGAAGGAAGAGGAGCTGTCAGGCAGGGCTCAGGCAGCCCAGAAGAGCTTCAGAAACAAGTGCAGTTTGCCCAGCCTTAGAAGAAGGGAAAGGGAGGCGCCCAGAGAAACCGGATCCATCCGTGGTGAACTCCTGATCCCCAGGTCAGGGCGCGCTCCCTCTGACCCAGCCAGTCTCCTGAGCCTCTTCATTACTTTGTTCTTCTACTGTCCTCTGACATTTCCAGGGATTGCACGCCTATAATTCCCCACTCCAGGCAGATGCCTGCCTCTTTCTCTACAGGGCACTCAGAAGGGCTCATTTCCCCAAACCAGACAGTTCTCCCACAGGGCCGTCCTGCTCCCTTCTCCTCCCAGGACTCGGGCCCGCTTCCCAGGGGCTGTGCACAGTCCCTCCCTCTTCCTCCATGGCCGTCTGGCGGTCCTCGTGCTCCTGCTGCCCTGACCCCTCGCCTCCCTCCTGCCCTCACTCATCTCCGCACAGCTAGGCTCCCAGAGTCAGCGCCACTGCTTGACATCATTTCTTCTCCTTTCATTTATTCCCTACTCCATCTGCTCCATCATGGTTTCCTGCTGTTAACCCTAAAAGCTGCTCTTTTTAAGCCCAGTGACCTCCCTGTTTCTTAATTCAAGCAGCTTTCTCTGCCTTAACTTCACCCAATCTCTCAGCTGATCAGCTTCTCCCAGCCACACCCTCCCTCTTGAGTTATTGTTCACTTGGCTTCCAGCTCAACCCATCCACTCTCTGGTTTTCTCCTAGCAGTGCAGCTCCTCCTTGGCAGGTGTATCTAAAGGTCAGAGCTTCTGGAAGGTCCCCTCCAGGCCCCTTTCTTCTTATTCTACGTTTGTTACCCAGCTCTGTGTTCTTTCTAGTAATACGGGTGATTTGCGAATCACGTTCTCCAACTCAAACCTCCTTAGGTGCAGTGCTTGGATATCTGGACGTTCGCTCGGTCTGAACATGTCCAGACTGAACGCACGGCCTTGCGTCACGAGCCAGGTCTGCTCCAGAGTTGCTTATCCAGCCAGGTAAGTGAGCCGCGAGCCTGGGAGCTGCCTTTCCCTCACCACCCACATGCAAGCCCTGCCAATGGCCCTGCCCAAATGCTTCTCAAACCCACTGCCTTCCTCTCCAGTGATAATCTTCCACACTCATCACATCGCACCAGACCTCGCAGCCACCGTCTACTGGTTAGTCAGTACCCGCCAACCTGTCACCATCCTCGGTGCAGTCCACACGGACTTTTTGAAATACAGAATTCTGTTCTTTCTTGACGAAGTACTTCAAATTCTCCCCACTGTTGCTTAACTTGCTACTTCTGGGGGGAAGTTTGAACCCAAGGTCTTTGCACTGAGCTACATCACCAGGCCTTTGTATTTGTTCATTATTTGGAGATTCATGACATTTCATTATTTTGCTAAGTTGCCCAGGCTGGGTTCAAACTTGCGATGCTTTCACCTCAGCCTCCCAGAGTGCTGAAAAATATAGTTCTTAATATGATTTGGTCTATGAGGCTTGGTCCCTCCCTTCCTTTCCAGTCTTCCAAAAAAGGTACCAAGGAAGACATGGAATCAGCCTAGGTACCCACTGATAGATGAGTGAAGGAAGAAAATGTGATACAGATACACTATGGAATATTATTCAGCCATGAAAAGGATAAAAGCTGAATTGATCATTACACAGATCATGAAATCGTAGGGAACCCTCAAAATACATGTGCATATTATGTGTTAGTTTAGAAAACATCACCAAATTATCACTGCTATCATACCGAAGAAGGAGGAGGAGGAGGAGGAGGAGGGAGAGAGGGTGTCTGCTGCGGGGCTCTGCTGAGCCCAACAGAGGCGTTGGGCACCCCCAAACCCCCGCTTCCTGGGCTCAGCTCACCTGCAGGTGGTGGGCGGTGATGGCTGGCCTCCCCCCGGGACACCACACGTCCTCGGTCAGCTGCCGAAGCGCCCAGAAACACTGTCTGCGGCAGCCCCCGTCCTCGTCCAGCTGCTGCAGCAGCACCTGCTCGGCCTGCGAGAAGCTCAGCTGCCAGTGGTAGTTGGAACGGGCCAACAAGTTGAACCCAAAGGACTGGAAGAAGAGACAAACCCAGTCTTTAGAGAATGAGGAGGACGGTGCTCGCTGAGGTGGAGCTGTCCGCCGGCCTGGGGACTGAGGAGGTGGCGGTGCGTCCTCCACGGGCCGGGCCAGGACAAGGGCCGGGTGTGGACAGCAGGCAGGAGAAGCCTCCAGCGCGGCCTCCCCTGCGGTTGTTCACCTGCAGCCTGCAGAAGAGCCCCCTCCCCACCCCGGGCCCCTGAACAAGGCCCTGCCCACCGAGTCTTCCTCGGCTGATCTGGGTGGGCCTGGGCCCTTCCTTTCTTACAAGCTCAAGGGGACCGGTGATCGGCTGGGGGAACCTTAGATCTAGGGAACCCTCACTGTGCTGCAGAAGCTGGGTGGCAGCAATGCCGAGACCTGCTGGGCTGCCTGCGTCCCTGTGGAGCCAGCATCCCCATCCCAGATACCTTGACGCACTCCACTCTCTGCGGGGAAGGCCAGCGCTTCATACATCGAGGCCACTGGGCTTTCTTGGGCCAGGCAGAGGGGATCTCCACGGTGGGGGCCAGCTCGATTTCCACTGGGCAGACAGATGTTTCCACGGCAACCCAGACTCCAGAGCTGCTGGTCAGCAGGCTCACTTTACCTGACGGGAGATGAGCAGACAAGACAGTGAGGAGGGAGGCAGGGCCGTGAGCACCCAGAGCGGGAACCTGTGAGCAGCACCCGTGGCTGCAGGGCAGCTTTCCCAGTGTCAGCAGCACTGCGAAAGGGGACATTCGGTTCGTGAGGCTGACGAGCCTCACATCAGCCAGCCTTTGCTAGAGCATGGCCAGAAAGTCCCCATTCCCTTAATGCTTTCGTGGTATGTGGTACTGGAGATTGAAGCCTAACCCTCACATAGGTCAAGCACATGCTCTCCGTTTTGGTTAAATTAATAGATTATTTTCAGAAGGTACAACTGAAGACACCGTAGAATACAATGGAAAAGGATAGCACTTCTGCTACGTGACATGGAAGCTGACCTTCCCTCTGTATCCTCCTTCATTCCACCCTCGAACCCAGACTTTGGTTTTCAATCGGATGAAAACCAAAGGAAAAACAGCGGCAATTCATCACTCTTCACTGGCAGTTCTGACAGTGCTCAAGGCAGTCGCTTTGGTGGAATTCTGCTAACCTGTTTTTATTGGAGTCAAAACCTGCTGGGTTGTGTTTCTACCGCCCAGCGCTGAGCCAGCCAGGCCTTAGGTGTGTTTATCACCATTAGCCCCGGTAGTCACAAGCCTTTCAAAGCGCGTCCCGGTCACTGTTTCCGGGGGACACGTGTGTGGAAAGAGGTCCTCACTGCCTGGCTTCACAACCAGGCAGAGGGAGAGAGGCAGAGAGAGACACAGAGAGAGACAGACGGGGAGACAGAAAGAGAGAGAGAGAGAGAGACAGAAACAGAGAGAAGAGACAGAGAGACAGAGACAGAGGTGGAGGGAGGGCAGGAGGGAGAATGAGTGGGCAAAGTTTTCCAGCTTACACACTAGACTGTCCTCATTTCTAATTTGCTCCCCCTTCTTTCAAAACATAGAGTATGTTTTGTTCATTTGCCTTTGTTACAGATAAGGATGAGTCCCGAATGGGGATCTGTTATTTTGCTTTTCCTTGCTCAGGGAAGAAAATGGAAGCTCCTTCACTGTGTTCGGCTGCTGAGAAGGAAAAGCCCACTTTCCTCGGCCAGGTGCGAGAAGGGCTGACGGTGGGCACCTCCTCAGAGCTGTCAGGTCCGGAGCCAGCAGGCCTGGCCCTTCAGCATCATTTACTAAACCATCTCACCAGCCTGCCCTAAATGGCTTGTCTGCACTTTCACCGGTTACAATGTTGCAAACTCAAAGAGGTGAGCAAATGGGAGGCGCCTGTCTGGCCCCTCCCCTACCTCTGCGCCTCACTGTGCTCATTCCTTCACTGGACGCGCAGACCACCAGCTAGTTACTCATCCCAGTCTTCATCTAAGCCTCGGTTTTCTCATCTGTAAAATTGGCACAGAAGCAATTCTTGCTTTCTAGGGTTGTTGTGAAGATTAAATAATCCATGAAAGTATTTTCTATAAGAATCTGTTATGCATGAGTTATTACTATGGAAATTTTCAAATGTGTCCTTTTCTTTCTAAACAAATAGAACTGGATATTACTTAGCGGTTTTGTTTTTTCATGTCATTGTGTAATATGTGAGCTTTTTTATAATGTTTGTATGTGTACCTATGCTCCATTCTTTTTAAAGGCTGTGAGGTAGCTGGGTGGGGTGGGGCACCTCAGTAATCCCTGCTCTCTGGGAGGCTGAGGCAGGAGGATTCCAAGTTTGTGCCCTGCTTAATAACTTAGCAATACTCTGTCTGAAATTTTCAAAAAATGAAAAGGGCTGTGGATGTAATTCACTGCAAAGGCCAGGGTTCAATCACCAGTACCACCAAAAACTTTTGCACAAAATTTTAAAAGCACATTGTAATTCACTAGGCAGAGGCAGCATGTTTCACTTAGCCAGTCTTCCTTTGTTAGCCATTTAGCTTATTTCTACGTAGCTGCTGTTACAAACCCTATGACAGAGGATGTGCATTTCTTTGTGTACTTGGAGAAGTATATTTCTGTGGCTGGAATTGCTGAATTTCCAGGTGAGCTCATATAAAAATACATAATGGACAAACTGCCCTTCAAAAAGAAGGTGCTGATTTATGCCCCCGAGGACAGTGTATGGCAATACCTGGTCCCCAGTGACCCCCACATGGATGAGGCAGGGCCCCAATTCCCATTGCTGTCAATCTCTCAGGCATTTAAAGGGATATGTCTCAGTATAGACATTAGATAAAACTCTCTCTCTCTCTCTGTCTCTTTGTCTCTCTCTCCCTAACTCCTTCTCTTCCCTTCCCTCCTCTTCCTTTCCCTTCTTTCTTTCTCTCTCTCTTTCTGGCAGTACTGAGAATCGAACTCAGGGCTAACACCGAGCTACATCTCCAGACCTTTATTCCTATAGAGGCACAGTCTTGCTAAGTCACTAAGTTGTCCAGGCTGAGCTCAAATTTCCAACCTTCCTGCCTCAGCCTCATTTTCTATTAATATTGTTTTTCTGTGATTCTTGTTTTTGTTGTTGTTTTGTTTTAGAGCCATTATTTGTATTGTTCAGCTCTGTTTCCTTATTAGTTTATGAACTCCTTTATAATTAAGGAAATTAGCCATTTTTTGTTTCCAGTTCGAAACTTTTTTACTCTGTGTGAATACAGTGTGTGTGCACCCCTGCACGTGGGTGGACGCACACATAGACATGGCCACTTTGTACAGTAGCTTAACATTTTGGAACTGCTAAACTTAATCATTTCTTACAGCTTCAGGACTTTGTGTTCTGCTAGCTGGGAGGTTTCTAAATGTGATATCTCCATGCACCGGGGTGCTATAGTCAGGTGGAGGCTGTTACAGTAGAAAAGTGCTAATCAATATCTGGGTTTCATGAATAATTTGCTCTTTTAAACATGTGCATGTAGGTCCTGGAAAAGGTGCATAGTTCACAGCGTGTTGTGTCTCTGCCAGGACAGTGATCTGCTTATATCCTCAGGAGTGTTTGGTGAGCACAAATTCCCATCTTCTCTTTGTCACCACAGAAGAAAGGGCAACTCTCTACACCATTCACTGATGTAACCGCCACCCAATCCTGTCTCAGTTAACATCCAAGCAAGGTTTTCAGAGCCGAAAGGGAACCTCCCAATGCCCCTTGCACCTTTCTTTGGTCAGCTCACCTGAGAGGTGACAGGCTGTAATTGCTTTTTCCACCAGCTTCCGGAACACCTGGAGGACCTTAGCAGGCACAACGTCGCCCTCGATGTTGACATCGGCCTCGTGCCACTGCCACATGTTCTTCATGAACTGCTCCACCTGCAGCCACTGCTGCAGGCCCTCAGGGGCCCGCAAGGGACAGGAGAGCTGGGAGCCCTTCAGGCTGTAGTAGCGCCAGCGCTGCTCCTTCGCTTCTCTGTACCCTGCCAGGCCTCTCACCGGCACTGTGATGAGGAAATGACCAGGGGCCAAGACCTGGGGTCAGGAAACAAGATATGTATGAGCTCACTGACCGCATAAGGAACAGAAGCCCTGCGGGAGCTGACTTGAAGAGCCAGGTGACTCAGCCCCCAGCAATGTGCCGAGGTAGACAGAAAACTGGACCTGGGCGTTGCAAGATGATTACACCTTTGCTCTGCCACTCATCGGTCGTTAAGGCTGTGGCAGGCAAATTAACTCACTGAGATTTTGATTTCCTGGACCCACAAGTTGAAAGGAGTGAAGGAAATCTGGAGCTCCAGAGGGGACATAAATTTGGGGAAGAAGAAGGGGAGGAAAGGGAACTAATATTCCCTGGGTTCTACGCATAGGAAGATGGTAATTCTCCTTCATTTGCCCACCCGTCTTCCTAGCTGCTTGGTGAGGCGGGCTCTGTGGCCATTTCCCAGATAGAGGACCTGAGGCTAAAGGGATCTGGACATCTCAGGGACACATAGTCATAAGCAGAAGAGCCAGAATCTGAGCTTAGGTCTTTTGATAGCTCATTTCGTGATTATTTTCCTACCCTGGGCTGGTTTTTGATCCAGAATGAATGACCTGGAATATGTGAAAGTTCTGGAAAAAATAAAGGGTAGGAGGGGATGGGAAAAGAAGTGATGAAGTAAGTCTGCAGAATGCCTTCCTTTATTTTCAACGGTACTGATGACCCATGGCCAGAATTAATGACTGTTGTAAAATCAAAGGTGCCTGTTTGCTTAGACAATGAGAGCCACTGAGGTGATTGTAAGTATAGCGGAGAAATCAAGCGGAGTCTACCCACTCCTACTAGGAGCCAGGCAAGCAGTGGTCAGGGAGAAAAGAGCCAGGTCAATAGTTCAAAGGCTAGAACAAGTCAGACAACAACGTGGTGTTGCCAAAGGGAACTTGAACTTTGGCTGTGATGCACAGCAGCCCACTCGACATTGCACTTTCCCTGTAGGTCAGCTCCCTCCTCTTCATGGAAAGTTCTGACAATGGAATTTGCCCAGGACCCAGTCCTTGAACAACTATGGAGTCAACACCAAAATCAAGGTGAGCAGTGGGCAAGTTAGTGAAATTTCAACAGTATTTATAGCCATTCCCCATCAGTCACATTAATGCCTGGCCTTCCCCTCCCCTCAGATGAGCAGTGGCACTGTATTTTCATAGGAGGACAAATCCTACAAGGAACTGTATATGTATGTGATGTAGGTTGCTCTCTGTTTTGAATCATCCTCAAACCATTTCCCCATCTCTCTGCACCCTAGTCTGTGAAAAAATTATCTTCCAGGATATTTGTCCCTGGTTTCAAAAGGGTTCGGGCCTTCTAATTTAGATCTACAATGTCCCCCCAGAAGTCTTTTGTTTGAAGATGGAGACTGGTCGAAAGGGGTTTGTCACTGAGCATGTGACCTGTATTCTTTTCTCTGGCTCCATCCTTCTTTCTATGCTTTTGTCTTGGAGCCAGTCAACCATGGAATGAATCCTCTAAAACCATGACCAAAAATAAACCTCTCTTCCTTTAAGTTTCAGGTGTCAAATATTTTGTCCCTGTGTTGGGAAATGAGTAATATAGAAAGTTAGTTCCAGGAATGGGATTAGAACTACTTTTGTGACTATACCTGATTATGTAGTTCAGAAGCCACTGGAACTAGTTTGTGGGGAAAGTTTGGAAAGGTTTGGAGATGTAGGCTACAGAAGCCATAGCATGCTGTAAATAGAGCTTGATTGGTGATTCTGGTGGGAGCTCAGAAGGCCAGGATGCAGATAGGAATGTAGACAGTAAAGGCTAGGCTCAGGAAGTTTCAGTTGAAACAAGAACTCTATGGAAATTGGACTAGAGACCATGGGTGTTACATTTTGGCAAGGAACTTGTCTGCATTTTATCCATATCCTGAGACTTTGCAAGATGCTCAGATTAAAGGCAGTGGACTAATTAATCTCACAGAGGAAATTTCAAGACAGCCCAATATTCAGGCTATGGCTATGGGTACAGATGGCTACTTTTAGCCAGATATGTACTGAAAACCAGGAACAAAAAGCAGAACTGGAGAATGTGAAAATTATACAGCTTGGCCAGCAGGAAACCTGTAAAGTTGAGGCAAAGAAGAACTTGGTTGCTGAAAAGATATGCATTAAAAAAAAAAAGCCAAGTACTTTGCATCAGGACAACAGGGAGTGGCCAGGAAATGGCCAGACCTCACCCATTTTAGGCTCAAGAGTGCAAAAGGTAAATACCTTCAAAAGACTTTACCTGGGCACTTTGGTTACCTAGGAAAGTATTTCCTTGAGTTCAGCTATCCAAGCACTCAGAAACAGCTGAAGCCATGACCCAAGGGGGCCAGTTTCCTGCTCAAACTAACAGCGAACTTTGGCATCATTCACGTGGTGCCAATTTTTCCAGCATGGAGCATGCAAGTGTTAAGGGTACATGAAAGCTTCCACCCAGATTTTAGAAGGCCCAGGAGGCCAGGTAAAATTTTGTGACAGGGTCATATTCTCTACCAGGAGCCCCTGACAGGGAAATGCATGAAGCTGTGAGAGTGAAGCCAAAGGAGCATTGAAGATCCCAGGAAGGTAGAGATACCAGGAGCACACAGAATGTCTGCTGAGAAAGGATACAGGTAGTGAACAAAGCCAGCCCAAGAGAGAGGCCACATGAACTGGCAATGCCATAGGAATGAGGCTGCCCAAGCCTTTGGAGCTCACACTGCACTACAAGCTGCCCTGGATGATGGATATGGAGCTACAGGATTTAATATTTGTTCTGCTGGTTTTCAGTCTTGCTTTAGTCAGATTTTGTGGTATGTTCTGATTTCTTCCTTTTGGAGTGGGAATGTTAACCCTGTGCCACTATATACTGCAAGTGTTTCACTTTCTGCTTGATTTTCTCCAGGATTTCACAGTAAGAATTTGCTTTGAATCTGAGAGGAGATTTTGTACCTGTACTTTTCAGCAATGCTAAAACTATTAAGGCTTTGATGACTCAGAAATGAAGTGAATGCATTTTGCATCATGAGATGGCATTAGCCTTTTGGGGGCCAAGGGCAGAATGCTATGATTTAGGCATAAAAATGTCTCCCCAAAGTCCTGTGTTCAAAGGTAGGGCCCATTTGGAGGGGTCAGGTCACTGGGGAATGAGCTAGAAGGGTATATTCTTATCCCTGGCTCCTCCATTTGTTCTCTGCTTCCTGGCTGCGATGGGATGAGCAGCATTTTTCTGCCATGCCTTTCCACCATGCCATTTTTGTTGTTGTTGTTATTGTTGTTGTTGTTTTTTGGTACCGGGGATCGAACTCGGGTCCTTGCACTTAAGCAGCAGGCAGTGAAACCACTGAGCTAAATCCCTGGTCCTGTTGTTGTTTTTGACACAGGATCTCACTATGCAGTTCAGGCTGACCTTGAATTCACTATGTAGCCAGGCTGGCCTCAAACTCGCAGTGATCCTCCTACCTCAGTCTCCAAGCTGGAATTACAGGCATGAACCACCAAACCTGGCCACAGTGCCATTTCTGCCTTGGAACCACCAAGTCATGGATTGAACCCACTGGAAACTATGAACCAAATAGAACTTTCCTCCTTTAAGTTGTGGGTATCAGGTATTTTGCCCCAACAATGGGAAAAATGACTAGTATAATCATCTAGGAAAGATAACACTCAAATGATATAGTATCTTTGAAATGAGTATCTTTGTAAATGGTACACACTAAGAGTACCCATGGGAATGTGATGAGTTATTAATGTCAGAGCACCCATCACATACTGAGTTCTACCCACCCAAGCATCTTGACTCTGCTGGTGGGCACTAAGACACAAGAGAGACTTGCTTACCTTAATGTTCCCATTGTATGTGTCACGGTAAGGCACGGCTTGAAATCGGGAGTCTTGACAGCTGATTTCTGTGGTCAACTGGTGGATAACTTTCTGTACCTCCTCCACAGTCTGGGAAATCTGCTGGCGCCTCAAGTCCACCTGGATGTGAGGAGGTCAGCAAGGTGGTTATTTCCCTTGGAAGCCCTGAGGCACTGGCATAAGTGACATGACGAGGACATAGAAGTGAATGAAGTTCAGAATAACAATGTTGTCTACCCAAGACTCCAGAGGAGTTAACCTGATGCCAACTGAGATGATACTTGACAGTGCCTCAGTGTCCTTTTCTTCCAGTATTTGCCAAGTGCCTACTATGTGGCAGGCACCAGCCCAGGTGCTGGGACACACCAGTGATCAAGACAACAGCAAACAAAATAGAGATACTTGACCTTCTGTTAAATATATAGGGTGTGGGTACACAGGTGTGCGTGTTATACGGTGTCAGGTTTGATAAGTGTCATGAAGAAAAACAAATTAGGATGAAGAAGTAGGGAATAAAGGAGCTACTATTTTACATGGAGTACCCAAGGAGAGCTGCTCTAAAGAAGAGACACTTGGGTAAGTCAGGAAGACAGCTTGAGAAAGCAGATTCCAAGACCCCTAAACCAGGAGGAGCAGCATGACAAGGCTTAAAGGCCAGTGAGGAGGCCACTGTGGTTGGAGCTGAGAAAGAACAAGGAAAAGTGATCAGATGAAGGGCCAGATGATCACAAAAGGCTCTGTGAACCATTCTGAGACCAGAGCAGCAGGATAATGCCAGCTCTTCATTGTTTGGTAAATATGAAAGGGTTTAGTGGGCGTAAACCCCCAGCGGATTACTTCACACGTACATCAGCATTGGGCAATGGTTCCCTTCAGCTCTGAATTCACTCCTCCTGCTGCTAGATGGCCAACCTTTCAGAGATTTCAACAATAACAAACAGCCTGCTGCAGCACACATGCCATAGGTTCACCACCACTGTGCTAGAACCTGAAGGATAAGCGTGTATTTAAGTTTCTTTGGGCTGCTGTGAGTCACCAAGAACTGGAAAATTCCCATAGAAAATTGAACATCAGTAAGATAACTGAAGTTTAAGGAAATAGAGGATTGTGGGAAACACAAAGTAAACTCCAGGAGGGACCCCCAAAATCCAAATGAAAGAAGAAATAGAAAGAGTCTTTACATTTCTTCTGAGTACAGGGGGCTCTTTGTTATATTCCTCAGGAGGCACCTGTAGGCTCTGGGGTCTCCTTCAACCAGGGGCTGATTTTAAACAAAATATGGTATAATGAAATGCAATACCTACCGATGAATTTTACATTTCTTCTGAGTTTGGTTTAATAGCTATTTCTATATATTCTAGAGTGGTTTTGAGACATGCATAAACTGGTCAAAACAGCCAGAATAAAAGCAAAGTCCAAGTCAGAGAGATTTCTGTTTCCTAAATCATCAATGACTTCAGTTACCTGAGACCTGATACATCCCACCAACCAATAAGCTATTCTACACATACACAGACCATCTATTTGAGAGTACATCTGCTGGTAGCTGTGTTGTAGATCCCAGTTCATCAATAAATATTCAGCACCTGCTGTGTACTGGGCATGGTTATATACTGGGTCACAGAAATGAGTAAGAGATACAAGCATGCCCTTCCCACGTGGAGCAGACAGATGTCAGTGAAGAGTATAAGCGTGGGGCGCCATCATGGAGAAGTGGGGTGTGCCACTGAGGCCAACAGAGATAGCTAATCTAGTCTGCAGGCTGGTACAAAGATATTCCCACACAGAAGACCATCTCTGAAAAATAAGCTAATTCCATCCCGATGCCCAACGCTGCAAAGAGCAGAAAGAAACATAAGAGAAAGCCCCCGATTTTAAGGAACTTACAATCTCATTGGAAATATGCCATACACGTGGAATGATATTTTCAAAAGCATGTATCTCTCCTGATCTTGAATATGGTAATCGTGTCCGCACCATTTTTTAACATCCTTGCTCTCCTCCAGCAGCCACTCACTACCTACATACCTTTAATATCCACCTCACTCTATTTATCATGGGACAAGGGGCCGAGGGTGCCCTCCTTGATTATTATTAAACTATGGAGGCTCTGCATCTTTCAGATTGTACTCAAAGAAGCGAGAGGTCGGCCACAGAGGGGCAAGCCATTTGCTCTGCCAAAAATAGAGCAGGACGCTTTTCACAGCTTATAATTAAAGGCCCTCTCCAGTGTGGGACTTGCCCTGAGTGATGTGATTCACCTTCATTTGACCAATTTTTGCTGAACATCCACTTCCTGCTGGGCTCTATGTGCATGTCGAGAGATTTACAGATGAGTTGACAAAGCAAGACTAACAAACTGGAAGTTAAAATCGCCACAGTCATGCGTTGGAGAGAGGTTTGCACAGGACACTGTGGATACGTAGAAAAGGAGCAGCTCCTCTAGCTGGAAGCTGGGCAGCTTCCTGGAGGCAGAGGATATTGGGGTTGCATCTTGAAAAATTAGTAAGAGCTAACTGGAAAGAAAAAGACACAAAGGTTGTTCCAGAAAGAGAAAATGGTAGTTATCTAGGAGTGAGGAACATAACAAAGAGAACCACAATTGTTCCTAGGTTGTTGTTGGAGCAGACTGCCTGGGTAAGGTTGGAGAGTAAACGGTGAGAGGTCTTAAAAACAAAAGCGGTTTCACAAGTGCTCCACAAACATCTAAAGAGTTTTGCCGATAGGAACAGAACTTCTGTGTTTGGCAGAAGGGTGGGCATTAACAAGTGGATTAAGAGTGGCTGGGAAGAGCTGGGGATTTAGCTCAGTGGTTCTGTCGCCTGCCTTGCAAGTACAAGGATCCGAGTTTGATCCCCGGTACCAAAAAAAAAAAAAAAAAAAAAAAAAAAAATTAGTGGCTGGAAGATAAGCACAAGAGGACAGAGGTAAGCGACTCCTCCAAGAAGTTTGACTGTGGAAGCAACCAGAATGAACTAAAACAACTGGGGCACCGACCATGTTTTCAAAATAACAGGCGGGTTGGGCATGTTTAAACACTGACAGAGAAAGGCCAGGGGAGAAGAAAAGGGCAGCAGAGGGCAAAACCACTGAGTAGGGATTTCCCAGGTAGAAGAAATCATGCAAATCCAGGCGCCTTGGTGTGGAATTTAAGTGGTGTGTCAGAAGGGAAGAAGGAAAAAGGATGCAGATATCAGGGAAAGGGTAGAGAACGGTGGGAATCAGACAGATTTCCTGCCCGACATTTGTTTTCTTTGTGGAGTGGGGACCAGGCAATGTGCTGAGTGAAACAGAGAGATGGCAGGTAGGGGACTCCAGGTGACAGATCGTTGAAATATCTTCTCAAGGAATGAAGGACGAGTTAGGCGCCTGAGTAAAGATGGCCAGGCAGGTGGAAGACTCAGCTGCAGAAGGGCCCATGAGACTGCGGGACGCAGGTGGGCTTAGTCATGAGATATTCTCCAGCACCTCCCAAGTGCCCCAGCCCCTCCTTCTCCCACACTATCCACGCTGTAAGAACATACGCCCTGCAGGCAATGCCTACTCTTTATCTTCTTCCTAAATCCAAAAAGTGCCCTTAATTTGGAGTCAAAGCTTATGAAATAATGAACCCAAAGTCTCCAATTTATTTGGATGTTGTAGTCATTCTGACATCCCACAGCACTCTGGCAGTGGACAGACAGTGACGCCAGTTACGGACCGGAGATAGGCCAGGTGGGTACGGAGGCCTAAGTTGCTGCCACGGCCTCTGACCTTTACAGGATCACTGAGCAATCAGCAGCCCCAGAAGGGCTTTGTGCTGGGGGTCTCAAGCTCCATCCCATGTACCTCAACAAAGAACCTTCCCCTTCTGTTTCCCTTCACTTATTCTGAGCACAGCTCAGACAGACAAAGCAAGAAGAGCTCGATGTTCTTAGATCACCCTGTCTGCCCACTGTTGCACTGACCCAGCAGTTAGGCCATGGTGCCGTCTAACCTGGGTGGGCTTTGGTCTGCCTGCTCAAGTCTACGTGTCTGCACATATGTCCACTCGCCCTCTTTGTCTACCCTCCCTTCCTTCTCAGCCACAGCCTCTGGCCTATTGTTGTCCCACAAGTCATTTGTTACTATTAATAGCTCGAGTTCTGGAATAATTTACTGTTTCAAATATAAATGATTGGGAATTCAGGATTGCTCTCTGTAACAACACTGCTCTGACTCAATCGCATTGCAACATACTTCCCCGAGAGAAGGGGAGGCTGCTAAGCAGAAGGCCAGGAACCTCACACAGGTCTGGGTTCACCTGGGGCAGGGGGCTGTGTGAACCTCATCCAGGATGAGTGCTGGGAAAGATGGCTGAGAACATTCTTCCGCAAATCAGGAAGGCAAGCATTTCATTCCAGAATTGCCTTTAAACTCAATAATCAGAACAAACAAACAAACAAACAAGAAGGCACTTTGTCCTCCAGAGTTTAAAGGGATGGATACTGAAACTCAGATATAGCTACAGGGGAGGCAGTCTGCCTTCCACCATCACATCCCTGATGTTTCAGACTAATTCCTCTAGCAGATGAACGTGTGGGCCACTTGGTATTCGGAGCAGAAGCTGTGCAGTACAGCAGCAGTACATGGAACTGAGATGACCGTGCCCTGCCTCAGTGCAGGGCACTTTATCAGAGGACACTCATGTGAGCCTTCCAACAATCCTTTAGGCAGATACTAGGACGGTTCCAAATTTTATAATGTGGAAACGGAAGCTCAGAAAGCCTAAGTCATTTACCTAAGGTTCCACAGTTGTTCAGTTACAAAACAAGGATTCACACCCTGGTAATACCATTCTGAAGCCTGAATTTGTAACCACTGCCCTGTTCTGCCTCCCCAAAGAAAAGGTGGTTGAGAAGGAAATCATCTCAATTTTTGAATGGAGCTCCTTTGGCCTAGAGGACCTTTTCTGTACTTCTCTACTCTCTAGGACCCCACTCACCCTTCTGGCTTTGCCCCTTTGAAGTGCATTTGAAGCACTTCTCCCGTAAGAACTCCCTCTTTCCTAGCAATCTTCTGGGTTCTGCACTGCAGCCTGGAATCTGCTGCGTGGTACTGGAAGCACTTGCCTGTCTGCACAGCAGACTTCCTCGTCTTTCCTCTGGAGCTATATCCAAAGCCTACAGGCAAGACAGGGCCATCCTTGAGACAAACACAAGATCTCTCCCTCAGTGAGCAGGCAACATCTCAGCAAGCTACAGCACAGGTCTGACACACAAGGGGTGCCCAATGGTGTCTATCAAGAATCACAGGGGTGCATCAGAGAAAACTGCCCTTCAGAATAAAGACAGTATAATGAAAGCCCAGCGCCTTCACTAGAGCTGCGGGGCTCTGGACGAGTTATAAAAATGAGGTGATATGCATATCACATTTTTGTGGATTAGAGTAAATGAGATGCTATATGTGCCTCACCTTCTATGCCACTCTTGCCTTATCTTCCATGAATCCTGAAGACATTCTAACCACATGTACAAGATATTCTGCAGAGAGATATTCAAAAGGAGGAAAGATATCCAAAACACTGTTCTTGCCCCCAGAAACTTAATATTTAAGTCACCAACTAAAGCAGTAATAGAAAATGTTTCAGGAGTCAATACACAATAGATTGCCCACAAAACAGTGTCAGGCATGATCACGATGAAGAGTTCTTAGGAGGACAAAGACATTTTGTGCTGGGTGTCAGGGGAATCTTTCTTGAGAAGGTGAACTCTGAGCTGAGTTTGAAGGATGCATATGAACTAGAAAAGGGGAGTGGAGGGATTGGGCCTGAGACCTGCTCAGGCCAGCGTTTTGATGGGAGACTCACCCCCCTGCAGGGATGGAGTAGGAGACACATACAGGAGGGGAGAGGGGACAGTGTCAGACCCGGAGGGCTGTAGCCCCTTGGGAATTGGCCAGCACATATGCAGTCTGACACTCAGCTCCACCCCATGGTTTCCAAGCAGCATATTTGGATATGTGGTTGCCTGGTCCTGATTTTTTCCCCCAGAAAAGGCAAAATCTGGATTTCTATGCACAATCTATTTTGAAATGTTTGTAAAAATTTTGGAAAATTTAAAAAGTGCTCAGATGGGTCAAATCAAACATATACATGTGTTGGATTCAACTCAGGAATCACTGTTCAGAACTTTTGCTGTTAGAAATGCAGGGAAAACAGAGACTAGAAGGATAGGGCTGTTGAAATTATTTGAATGCCAGGATAAAAAAAATTTAGTTTTTTCTTACAGAAATTACAGGACCCAGGGGAAGCTGTCAGACAACACCCCTCCCAGTTAGAGCCCCTGAAAGGAGAAATAAGGGAAAATCACTTTAATTTTTTATCACCATAGGTGTTCCTTCTTATCTCTTTCTAGTGGTTTTGCCTAAGAAATACACTTTACTTTACTTATCACTATGATGATAATCTTTGCTGGAGACCAATCCTTACCTCCTTTTTTTTTTTTTTTTTTTTTTTTTTTTGGTACCAGGGATCAAACTCAGGACCTTGTGCTTCTGAGGCAGGTGGGCACAATCCCTGCCTCTTAGTTTAATTGTTTAATTTAAACATCAACATTGTACCTTAGTAGCTTCATCTGTAAATGCAAAGGCTTAAATTAGATGATAGCTAATGGCCTTTCAAATTCTAATATTCTAAGAACCCTACACAGAAGAAATTAAATTAGTTCTTACTTGATATATACTGAAAAACAGTGATTTTTTTTTTCAAAACTCACAGTTTTGCATTTTTTAAAAACTTCGTTTTAATTTCATTTGCTTTTTTTCAGTGATCCCACTACTATACTAATACTATCACTTGCATTTTATGGAGAGGAAAGTTTAGGCTCAGGTGGGTTAGTGACTTGCTCAGGGCCACCAAGTTTTAGTGACACAGCTAGAGCTCAGTTCTATAGTCAATGGCCACCATGCCTCGGGGCACTCGCTGCACAAAGACAGGAATGAAGTAGGCCTGGTCCCTAAATCCGCCATGGTGGTGGTCTTCAGCTTCTGAGGAGCATTTTCTGTATCTTTAGAGGCAGTGACATCCCTTCTAGGTCAGTGTTACTGAGGAAGAGGCTGGAGAGAGAGGAGGAACGTGTGGGAAAGGCCAGCCTTTGTCCTTACTTTGCTTAGCAGAAAATCTTCTTCATCATCCGCGGTGAGGGATTTCATGGCTTCCTGGTCAATCCTGAGTAGAGCAACAGCTGCGTGGGGTTTTTTGCAGTGGAGGACCCTCGTGGGCAGCTTTCCCAGCAACGTTACCGTCTGGATGAAGTTTCTCTGGAACTGTGTAAATGGACCAGGAACTTGTCTTTTTATTTCTTCACTCAAGTTCTCATTTCCCAATTGCAGTGGAGAATCCATCTGTTATCTACTGAGAAATTAAAAAAAAAAACCACTAAAAATGAGAGCTGATGAAACTGAATTTGAATCCAACCTATTTTTTTTTCATTTTTATTTATTTATTAATTTTTTTACCCTACTTACTTCTATGGCCAGAAGGCAATTTTCTAAATTGTATTTCTCACTCAAATACTCTGTTCAAGGTAGAAAGCCCTGTAATTGGTGTCTCCCCTCTGTTTCATTCTCTTCTATACCTGGGAGCTCAGTATCTTCCTATCTCTTTGTCCTTATTCTGTTGACAGTAAATATCCTTTGCCCTCCTATCCAGGAAATCTCACAGACTGATTTACCTTCTTTACAATAAACAAATAAGAAATTGCTCAACAACCAGCTTGACACTGGTCATGATACCTACAAAAGAGGGATCAGGACTTGTCAGTCAGACCAGGCACAACGGTTGGCATTTGGAAAAGCATGCACACAGTCACACACACGTACACACAAACAGGCATGCTGACACAGCCACACTGCGAAGATGGGCAGGGCAGGGATCCTGCTGCTCACCTGCTGACTTACTGTTGAGAGTAATTTCCCTCTTTCCACTTGAAAGCTATCTTGAAAATAAAGTCAGTGTAAACAGGCGGCTGGAAAGTTGAGGAAACACTCAGATCTGGTTTTGCCAGTAAAACTCGAGTTGGGAATCAGTTCAGGTAGTGGATTCCCAGTCTGACTTGCTAGAGCTAGTTTTACTATAGAAAAAGAAAATCACAACAGCTTGATTTCTATGAAGCTGGTAAACATCACAGCCTGCTGTCAGAGGCTCTAAAGACGGGACAGCTGGGCGAACCCAGCTCACTTCGGAGCAAGGCTTCTCTGGCCAGCCACTATCTTCCCAAACTTACCTCTAAGCCTGCCTCCAAGGACTCAGCAACTGCAGTGCCTCTGCTGCTGGCTTTCTGTGGCTTCACATTTGCATAACCTCCCAGACTCTGCCCCTTTGAAAGCCACATCAGAGCTCCCTGGCCGAGGGTGCTCCACCCACTCCTTAGCCCAGGTTTACAATCCTGCTTCCACAAATCCCTTCTAGTAGTCCACAGTCTGACAGAAACCTTGGAAAGCTACACCCTCTCCAATGAGCCTCCAAGTATCTCCCTCAAGGCTGCCTTGGTTTTCCATCTGCTTCTTTGTGTAATCCTAACCCTCCTCTTTTAAAAAAACGTACCAAATGCAGCCTGGGGATTTAGCTCAGTGGTTGGTTCCACCACCTGCCTCGCAAGCCCAAGGTCCAGAATTCGATCGCCAGTACAAAAAAAAAAAGTACCAAATGCTCCCAATTATTCCAAATCATATGTTTGGGCTTCTCTCACCACTGGTCATCCTGACAAACTCATACCAGCTTTGCACAGATGGAAAAAGAGCCTCTCCCTCTTTGCCTACCGTTCAGTACTCTTCCTCTATCTCACCTTCCAACTTCTCACTTCTCAAAGCCCCACTTCACCCTACTCTCCCTTGGCTCTTGTTTTCATTCTAACCTCTGCCCTCACTGGAACTCACTTGGGAGTCCCTTTCCGGTGGGGGGTGTCTTTCCAGTGAAAGCAGGGTTACCCCAAGCTCCTGTCATTACATGTGCAAACCTCCACCATTTTTCCATCTGTGGCTCCCCTCTCTTGTTCAAAGCTTCAGCACTGCAGCTAACCAAAATGGTGACATCGGAAATTGTCTCTTGCCCTAAGAACCAGAGACACTTGTCATATGTGAGCTGGGCCACCTGAGGAGCCTGGGAGAAGGAAGTATGTGTTCAGGGCAGCTGCCTGTAGTCTGGTTTCACCGGGATGCACATCCCAGAAATAGGGGTGTCATATGAACACAGTCTAGGCCCTTACTTCTTACGGGCAAAGCTCCCGCAGTTCAGGGCAGTCTCACAAATACAGATTCTCTCAACTATAGCTACAGGTTAGTGGAGATAAGGTTTCTTGGTAGACCTGAATCTCTTGTTGCTGAATAGTGGATCAGCAACCATTTATTGAGTAACAATGTGCCTAGGGCATTGTGCCAGGGCCCTGAGGGGGATTCACAATTAACCCAGATTCTCCACCTTCATCAGAAAATAAGGAGCCTCATTTGTCACAGACTAACACCAAAACCAAGTGCAAAAATGCAATCCAGCTTTAGGTCAATTTCTATTGCAAGGACCAATAACTTATCCTTTAAATTCAGTTTAACAAGTTATTCAAAATTTTATACGAAACCTTCAGTGTAGGAAGTCCTGGGAGACCATGCTTGCCCTGGCTCACCAGCAGAAATGGGTTTTTTCTGCATTATTGAATGATGGAGGTTTTGAGGCCGATAAAGAGGAAGGTCAGCTTCACCCAAATCAAACTGTTTTGTTTTGAGACATTGAGACAAGACATGTGTGGGAGTGGAGGGCAGGTTCTTACTATATTGCTGAGGCTGGTCTTGAACTCCTGGACTCAAGTGACTTCCCTGGCTCAGCCTCCTGAGAATCTGGGACCACAGGTGCATGCCACCGTATCCAGCTTCTATGTTAAGTTTGTAAGTTTGTTGAAGATCACCAGTCCACTGACTTTCTGACTTACTGCTTCAAAAATTTCCTCTAGTCTGGGAATGACTCAGAGCTGACATCTCAGAGGACCAGACAAAGATAATCATCTGTGCTATAATAAAACCCACAAGAGTGAATAATTTGAGCCTGAAACCAAGTCCATACTGAAACATCAGTACCTAACACGTAAGTGACCCTCAACAAATATTATGGAATATTTATTTGACTGTTATATATTAAAGTGATATTCTAATAAGTATCTTAAGATGCACAAAATCACTTTATAAATTACAAATTAAAATACATACATGCACCTGTGACCACTTAAATTACCATCTTCTTCTATAGAAAGTCCTGGTATAAAAGAACTAGTACAGTGCTTGCTATAGGTTAGGACCTCAGTAAGTATCTGTCTGCATGATCTGTTTTATTCACGGAGGAAAAAGACCCTTTTAAGGTACGTGAGTGACTCTTCTGGTCTTGTTTGCTAGGGAAGATCTTTTGATGGGTTGCTCATCACAGTTCCACCAGAAATGCCAAATGAGATAGCTTGAACTTAATCTGATTCCTGGGTTCAGAGATAAGGAATCCCAAATTCAAATTCCTACAGGGCCCATGGAGATTGCAAAATAAATCAGGACAGAGGGGAACTGGGAAAAGAAGTGGAGCCTATGGTGGTTTTAAGGATAAAAGTTCTATCTAGGATATTCTAAGTTGATGGGGGTTTTTATTTGCTTGTTTGTCTCCTGTGTTTCATTAAACAAAGCAGAACTATCCACAAGGCCCTCCTCTGCACTTCATGCCTCTATAATCCTGAAATAGCTGCAGCTGGCTGAGAGAACCTCAGATGTCTTCTTTAGGCCCTTACCTAGGCAATACTCCCAGCTGCCCCTCCTCCTACCCTGCTGCCGGACCAACTCTTCAAAGATGGGTCTTAGCTGCCACCTGCTTCAGGGACCTCTCTGATTTTCAAGGCAGAGAAGGAACCTCCACCTGATGGTCCTAAGCTACTGCTATGGCTTGTACCTAGACGTCCCCTCAAAGCCTCATTCAGTCATAGGTGGGGCTTTTCAGAGGTGGCTGGATCTAGACTGTGTGATGCTGAGATGAAGAGTACGTAATTACTAAATTAGTCCACCGATTGGTTTGGCATAGTGTAGGTAATGAGTGAGATAATGGGAAGGCCAGCCCTTGGTGTGGGTGCTGCCCCCCTTAAGGATGTGTAGCTTCGATTGAATATAAGGGACAGAAAGAGGGCTGCTGTGGCTGCTTGCTGCCTTCTGCCTGCAATGAACTGTTTCTCCTCTGTGACGCCCCTCTGCCATGCCACCCTGCTGTGGATCTAGCCAATTATGGACTAAAACCTCTACAAACTGTGAGCCAGAATAAACCTTTCTTCCTTTAATTTTGGGTGTCAGATATTTTGTCTCAGTGAGAAAACTAAGACAGCTACTCAATGTGAAATTTCTATTTTAGGTTTTATTACACAGCATTTTGCTGGTTTTGCTTGCATCAATACCCTATTATATCACAAGATTCTTGAAGAAAAAGATTTACCTGGTTGGACACAGTATTGGACACAGTATTTGACATGTAGCAGATGCTTAATAAATGAATGAATGCATGCATGCATGAACAAGTGAATAAGTGAGGGTGGTCCCTTTTCTCATTCTGTAGTGTAATCCCCTCCTACCTACTGGCATAAGATAAAATAAGACCAGTAAAAGTTGAATAATGAGTAAGCACTCATTCAGTAAGCTGAATGAGTCCTCAATGAGTAAGCTGAATAATAAGTTGAGTAATAAAACTCATTGGTTCATTTGGAAATAAATTAACAACAGTAGAAAGGGAATAAGGAAATTCCCCTTGGAAAAGCTGATTGAGTCAGAAAGAGCAAAGCAACAGGATAGAAGTGTTTGCTCCTGAAGGAAGCCAGTATTCATACCCTAAATATGTCAAGAATGCCGAAAAGCCACCCAATGACGAGAACATGCCAACTGCATCCTTGTACAATCCCACTTTGTAAAAGTCATGGCTCCTTCCGGCTATTTCAATAGAAATGTGCGTTATTTCCTAGCTGGAATTATTATCCTCATACATTCAGAAAAAGAAGCAGTCTTCCAACATCAGCCTGAAGGAAGCAAATAAACAATTACTTAACAACAGTGGATGTACTACTTACAGAGCTCATGGGAAAGAATGGGAAGTAACAAGTGCTGTCCACTCCAGCTTTCTATTCAGCAAAGATGACCTGGATTCATTACAAAAAACTCCTGGATAAGAAATGACCCCAGTTGTGCTTGCTTCAGCTGCACATATACTAAAAGAAATGACCCCAGTTTGGGTCCACCTTTTTCCATCTGTCCATATGTCCCCCCATCTATATGTTGTGAACTAGAATACTAGTCCAGGGCTTCTTCATTCAATTTACCCAGGCCAGAAGCAGCCCAGAAACTTATTTTTAGCACAGAAGTTGTCAAGGTAATTAAACTTCTGTTTTGGCTTAGATGACACTTTATTTTCAAATAAATAGTAAGAAGTCCTTTCATTTTCTATTTCCTTGTCTGGTTTTTAAAAGGTTGTATTTTCATTTGAAATTTCAACTGAAGTCAGGGTGTAACCCTTCCCTCAACCCCAGGCCTGTGAGGCCAGCCTACTTTTAAGTCAACCTTTCCAGAAAAACTTGAGAGTGAGGCAAGCACTTAATGAAGCAGACACTTGGTTGTATTAATTTGTTACATCATGAAGTTAACTGGAAACTTTACTTACCCTTTTACCTCAGTTGCTGAGCTGGCTGAGTTGGAAGGTGGCCCGAGATTGCTGATTGGAGGAATTATTGTTAGTTCCTAGGCTCACAGGGGACAATCCCTCTCTCAAGCCCTGTCTACTATTGCTCATGACAAATTCCTAGTCAAAAGACACCCAGAGTGAAGATACAAAGGCAGAGATCAGTGGAACAAAATAGAAAGTCCAATAAATAGATTTCTGCAAACATCACCATTTGGTCTTTGACAAAGTATAAATGCAATTCGGTGGAGAAAAAAATCTTGTTTCCAACTAATGGTATTGGGACAATTGGCTATCCATGAGCATCCACAGGAAAAGGAGTAAACTTTGTTATGAAGCTCACATCTTACATAAAAATCAACTCAAAATGAATCATAGATTCCCATGAAAAATGTAAGACTATAAAATGTACAGTAAATCTTTGTGACCTGGAATTAGGCTGAGTTCTTAGAAATTAAATCAAACAGATAATCCATAAAAGGAAAAAAATTGATAAATGGGACTTCATCAAAACACCTATGTTCTTCCAAAGATACTGTCATGAGAATGAGGAGACCTCACAGGCAAGAAGAATATGTTTGAAAACTGCATATGAAAGATTTGTCTCCAAAATATAGAAAGAAGTCTTAAACTCAACAATAAGGAAAGAAATAACACAATTAAAAATGGCTGAAGGACTTGAATGGATTCTTCTCCAAAGAAGACAGAAG